CATACTCACTGATGAAATGGTTAGGTACTTTTACTGTTATCGACACCAGATTGTGGCTGTTATGTTATAATAACGCTATATAATAATGTTGATCTGTAGAGAGTGTCATTTGAGCCGGTTTATTTCACAAGAAGTCGCCTTACGGTCATACGACGAATTAGTAACGCAGGGATTTAATCGAATCAAGATGTAAATCTGACTAGGAGAATGCTTCGATAGAACACCTCCTCGAAGGACGCTACCATATAATAATTATCCAACGCACGTCCACAGAATATTTTCTGCGAGACGAAACGTTTTATTCGACAGACGCGATATTTTAATAATATTTATCTGTTGGAAGAGTAATTTCTTTTTGTTTTAATTTAAATGGTCTGCTTGCTTTAATTTTTTTGTTTTAATTACACAAGATTTTGCAGTAACCAGAAACAAGAAATAATAAGTTAAGCGTATTGTTCTATTTCGTTTAGAATAGAGATTTTTCTTCCGAAATATTTTTGTACATGATCTTGCGTTGATAATTATCTATTAATCACAGATACAATAATAAGATAGAGATTACAAACCTTTTTTTGTAACAATAAGAAATCGTATATAGACGTAATAGAATACGTAACTTTTTATTATAACTACGAAACAACGATGCATTAGCGTGATATTTTCTTCATAGTTCACGTGTAGCAAAAATTGCATACTTTTAACCAATTTACATTACGTAATGTTGTTTTTATACATCGTGATTGTGAAAAAAAGTTCCAAGAAGTCGCTTAATTTTTTTCATCGCCATTTTTTTATTTCAACTAGATCTTACAATTTTATAGAAAAAGATAGAAGTACTATGATATTGTTGTCATTCATGACACTATTCTTTATAGTCACGGAAATTTTGTTTCTGGCGCTAATTTAAAATATTTGCACGATAATTAGATTTCTAAAATATTTATCGCGTCAATAGTTCATTTGTGTTCATATAATAATACACTCGCGCAATTCTTACGCTTTACTTTACAGCTAGAAATTTCCTTGGAGTAAAAATAACAGAAGATTATTACACGAAATAGTATTTGAGCATTTGTTTGTACAAAATATATCCGGATTCGTTTATGTAGTCCCATGTCGGTCCATTTAGATTCATCACCGACTGCATAGGTGGGCTAAAAATGTCAATCCAAAGATTTACAGACTCCCTTTGGGATAAAGTAGCTGTGGCTACGCCCTTTATGCATGTTTGTTGCGCCCAAATTGAAATGGAAAAGCAAAAGGGACCACCTGCGTTATGCACGAAGACAGGTAACTCTACCTGGTTTTAACCGCTGAGATTTTTTTAGAGTCGAACAAAGAACCCAACTGGCACTCGTGCACCCTACGACCTAAACCCACCATCCACCTTTTAAGGCAACATTCACACGTATATACCTGATCGTTTTGAAGCCCACCTTCCTTAGATTACATTCCATCTCCGAAGACTCTGGCCGTCTGTTATTTAGACATACCTACATTTCTAACATGCCTGTCGATGCACAAAAGATAAATCTTCCTCGATTAGAAGTTTGCTTGGAATGTAGCTTACAAAGCGCGTATATATAACGTGACCTTCCGCCTACGACCTTATATTGTTAAAGAATTATTTAATTCTAATAATGATGACGCTTATGTACATGCGACTTGTCCAAATATAATAAACTTTTTAAGCATTTTTAATTTAGGTTACAAAAGAATGAAAAGGAACAGTTTAAAAAATACAGTTATTACTACTGTTAGCTCTATTTAACAAATTGCTATATTTTTCTTGGCGAACTGATCATTCTGAAAATACAATAATTATTACATAGTAAAATAGTTGGGCGTTATTAAAGTCAACATATGAAGAGAGCTATTTACGAATAACAATGTATTCGAGTTACATCATACATAGATAATAATTCGCTTACGTCAGTACGTTTTACCTTGGTAATATAAATACTATTGAATATATTCAAATACACCATGAATTATGTTACGTGGCTGTTTTATTAAGAAATGTGTTTCTCCCCAATTGATAGCATTGTACGTTTGAATATTAAGAACAATATTTCGAACTTTATATAAAAAATGTGACTGAAAATTTAATTATATCGTACGCTATTTATACAATTTTATAGTTTGAGCTAATTGACATTATTATCACTGAAAGAAACGCTTCAACTGTAATTGTGTCTCTCTTCGAATAAAATGATCTGTCTCGTTACGAATTGAATTATAGGTTAAAAAATGATTGTGGTAGTTGAACATTGAACACGGTAATCATACAGCACTGACAATGAGACGCGCTCCACGATAACAATGGCTATATCAGTAATGTCACGGTGTAATGCATCTACATCTACAAAACATTATTTTTATGGATCTCATTAACTCTTATCTCACATTTTAAAGTGATATCGCGACAAATTAAAGTAATTAATTTTATTCTACTAAAAAGTAATAAATTTTTTAATTATTAATTCATCATTAATCTCTACAGTTTTATCAAATTTTACCCAATTATTAGCGCGTACAATTATACAGGCGTATAAATATATTTATGCAGAAAATGTAAACTAAATTCTTTAAACTGCACCATTAGACCATTATTATTTACCGTCGAAATTATACCATTAATAATTAATTGCATTTCGTAAACAATGAAATGAGTGATAAAACAGAATGTTTCATATATAAAGTGTATTTGAAGATTGCAGCATCAAAAATCAGTTGTTCAAGTTCTCCTTCACAATGTTTCCGTTATAATACCTTGAGTGTTCTTCCGTATTCTATAATCACTAATTAACACTATTTAATTTACATGGACGTATTTTCAATGCTGTAAACAGTATCATTTTCTTTTTTAACACTAGCTAAAGCAGGAGAGATGCAATACGTATTAATAATATGTATTATTGATCGTGTGCAAGTGATATTGAAGGGTTGGGTTTGGATACCGATGCAAATTGAAATATTTTAAAATTCAGGCGTGGATACTGGCAAGTGACGGAGATATTAGTAATGATATTAACTCTATGCGATCAAAGTCCGATATTTTTAATGAATATTCATAGCGTTGACTGGAGGAACATTTGAGTTTTGTGTCACGATGAATACTCGCTACACCTTAGCTACATACGAGACATAAACAAGAATAAGTCGAATCGAAATAAAGTGTCGTACCTCAACTTTGAAAGAAGGATGTTCAAAAATGGCCATTTTTGTACCTCCTCGCGGACGAACAATTCATTTATGACATTTAAGAATTTCTCTCAGGCAACGATAAATATTACTAGTATTTATCAGAAATGTGACGGGAGAATTGAAAACGTTGAATTGCGCTTAATCTTCAACTTCTTTATATGCTGATCCATCTACGAAATAATTATCCATCTATATCGACATGATAGTTCTTCAATCATTGTGTTGACGAATCATTGAAGTTTGATGTCGAGCGTACTGTTATAATAAATGTATCAAAGTATCCGGATGCTTTGAACACTAGTGTACTGATTCAAGATCGAAGTACAAGGTCAAGAGAGTAGAAACTTTTCTTGGTTCAATTACCCGAATGCATTTTCTTTTTTGGTATAGATAAGTACTTCCTTCAAAACCGGTTGTAGTTACTCGAACTTACCTATAAAACATTAGGTACATGCTAGGAAGCATTTAGTACGAATGAAATAAAGAAAGAAGCTATATTTCTATTATCTTTACTATTACCTACATTATTATAATATACGTCTATTGTTAAATTTACATTTTATATCTATATACAAATTTCTAATACTATCATTATTTGTAATCATACAATTATTTTGTAATATATGAAATAGAAATGAGAATATTTGTTTTATGTTCCTTTTTTTAATCCATCTACAAACGATAGATCCCTATGTCATGACGCAGTGTTCATGCACACTATAGAATTTGTAATATAGACGATATATTTGTAGTGTGTATTTTTCAACTGTAAAGCCTAACTACCATTCCGTGTAGAAGACAAATAAGAGGAGCTTTAGGAACTTCTTCGCTTCTAAAAATATAGCACAGGTATCCTCCATTTAACATTGTTAACGTCTTCATCAACGCATTCATCAACGAAATGTGTCGGTATCCGGATCTATTGACAAGATGTTTCACGTCTCAACGAGAAGACATTGTGAAATACATATTGTGAAAGTGACGCACAATGATATCAAAAAAATTGATCATGTAATTCAAATTCACTAGAATGTAATCACGTTTATGTATTAATTTCATTGAGACACTTCGTCAATTTGGTCAACATACTTGTAAGATATAATTATAAACAAATTTTATTTTTTTCTCTTGATGATTCAACGCTCAGATATCGCCAATCTCAAGTCGAAGATATCGCGTCCCTCCTTCTGGATTGTAAATTTTATCGAAGGTGGTAGGTGCTTTGACGTATTCTTGTTTTGAGTACATATTGAATACCGAATGAAAGCAGTGAAAGCAGTTGTAAGGTAGGAATAACTCGGCGAACACGACTGAACGCGAAGGATACTATGCATAAGTATAGGATCTAATACTGATTATTATATAATTTAAAGTTTTGAGAAACACCATGTAAAAAGAAAATATCAGACAAATGATATTACTTGATCTAAATGACTTTATTTAAAACATTTTTTATACAAATTATTCATTTTTGTATATAAAACAAGCAACACCTGTACATAGAGAATTTCTTATCTAAGTTGTGATAATAGTCGTCATCGTACAAATTATTGTTTTACTAATTAATTAACTTCTAATCTATGGTCGATTTATGCTAAATTTTGCCGATAAGCCGAAGATTAAAAACAAAATGATTTTTTCAAATTATATCAAAAAGCATGTCAAGTCTTTGAGAAAGTAAAGTTTTCAACATGCTATGTGTATGGTATACTAGGTATATATGTATACAACGATGTTTATAATTCAAAATATATTTTTTATATATTTTTATATAAAAATGTTTTTATTTATAGATTATAAAATGAAGACTCTGACTATTTTGCTGCTTACGGTACTCGTATCTGGAGTGGTTCCTCGAAGTAATACTCCATCTGATCCTAACGACGCAATATCATCTACAGACGTATCGTTAAACCGTATAGAAGATTCTGCAGAATCATCGAAAATATCTTTACTTAAGACAAGCGATACGTCCGGGAAAGTGTCTTATTCCACTGGCGCAACAATAAATGGAGAAGCGAAAGACAAAACGTCCATTTCGGGTGATAAGAGGGTAACTTCAAAATTAAAAAAAGATGATCTACAAGTTTTAAAACCTTTCCTTGGTCCTAAGGATTTACTTTTGCAAGAAATTCATACTTTAGACGAAGAAGCTTCTAATTCTAAGGTGATTTGTAAGTTTTTACATACAACTGACAATCTGACAGTGACTGAAATGATAAGACAAAAGAACTAACGGAGATACACAATATACATATATCCGTTACTTTATGATATTGAGACGCTTGTGCGTAATAATAATTTTGGCATATTGAAATTTTTATTAATCCAATTCTCTTATGATAATTAATAAATATCCTTTCTTCCTTCCTATTTTCGTCTCTTTTTAACGTAAAGATATTGGAATAATCGTAGCTAAAGCAATCTGATCATAATTTTATAATAACATTGTGATGAAAATAATTGCAGACTCAAGATGGAGCCAAAATGGAAGTTAATGGTGAAAAACGCGTAAATTTAACATCCTCCTCAAATTCATTAAGGACAATCGGCGATAATAGCATAACCGGAAGCAGTGCTAAATCAAAATTAGATAAAGATGAAGACGCACCCTACGAAGATGATATGAACGAGGACGAAGAATATGAAAACGAAGACGAATATGACGATACTGATGAAGACGATAACGAAAACGACCAAGAGCCCGAAGATGATGAACAAGTGATGACACAATGTCCCGATTATTGTAAATGTAGTGGGGAGTATGCAGCTGTATCGACTGCAACGTACGTTTCTAGTTTTTGACGATAACATGATATAAATTAATTATTTCTTTTATGCTAACAACAGATGAACACAATATTAATTTAATAAGTATTACATAATTTGATAATTTCTACAAAACAAAGAATTCAGATATTACTTCAAATTTAGAGACTTATATAACTAAAAAAATTTTCCATTTGTTCTGTATTTAGATGCACCAAACTCGTGGAACATCAATCTTTTGACAGAAATATTGTACATTTGCGTATAGAAAATGCTGGTCTAATTAGTCTTGGCCCTCATGCATTTCAGTCACGAGGTTTCCAACAATTGGAATCTATTGTGATTTCTGACACGAGAATAGTCGAATTAAATCAAACTGCGTTTGATGGAATACCGTACTTATTTTCTATAAATTTAACACGTAACGATATTCAAGACATTCATCCGAATACTTTCCAAAGCAACAAACAACTATCATTACTTGCTATTTCTGGAAATCCGTTAAAGCATACGCAAGATTTAAAATTGGCAAAACATGGCCTGTTTGACGCTCCATCAGTTACAGAGTTTGATTTCTCCTTTAATGGTTTGACAAAACTAAAACGTACAGCGTTTTCAAAAATGAATGGTCTGACTTATGTTAATTTAAAAGGTAACAAATTAAGGGAAATTGACAGCGAATCTTTTAACACGTTGGAATCACTTCTGGAAGTGGATCTTTCGAACAATATGTTGAACGAACTTCCTGTTGATCTCTTTTCTAACAGTAGGGTTCAAACGCTTCGTATTGCTGGTAAGATTAATATAGTTAATCGTACACATTTTACTATTTAATTGATGCAACATAAATGTTCTTATGAGAAAATTATTTAGTAACATTCTGTTCAGTAACAACGGAAGAAAAAATTTATTAAAGAAAACATATATTAATTACGGAAAGACAAAAAAGCACGAGTTCTCTTTTTGTTTCAGCACGACAAACTTGAACTAAGTGATTAATATCTATAATCATCAACGTTATTATAAATTAATATTAGTACCTAATGACTAATAAATTATATTATTATATTATTTATATTAGTAGTTAAATAACAATTTATCTTTTTTAATCAAATTGTATGTATTCATAAATGTTCATTTAACTTTTAGGAAATAATTTGACCAATTTGAGTACTATACAAGCACCGAGAGTGAAAGTATTAGATGTATCTAATAATAAAATTAAGATAATAGCAAAAGACGACTTTTCTGATGCAACCCTACTGGATACATTGACAATTAGATCGAATGGCCTCAAGAGAATTCATCAACATGCTTTTACTAATCTTAATCAACTTACCAATCTTGATATTAGTGATAATAAACTAACTTCTCTGACGGAACACCATTTAAGAGCTAATTCGATGTTACAAGTTTTATTAATGAACGACAACCCTGAATTGGAGACCTTACCAATATTCAAAACATCTGGACCTGACTCTAATACATTCAGGTAAGACTACTTTTTTTAAATATTCACTATACATATATAATATTTATTATCATGGTAAATTTTCTAATAAGTAGATATACATATGTATATGTATAATCAAGAAACAGGGATAAATTATATTTGAGAATTAATTTCTTCATTAGAATAACTTTGTTATTGGTAAATATTCATAAAAAGGGAGCCATCTCCGATTTTGATAATTTTTTAATATGTTGCCAAGATCGTCATCCTGAGTAGTATTGTAAAGATCTTCGTTATGGATCGCCATTTATTAAAAACATATCAAAAAATCATTTTTTTGTATTTTGATGCAATAGTAAGTCAATAACTAAAAGGTGATGATCTTAAGATCACATTCAAAAATTATCGAAGCAAGGGGTGGCTCGCTTTCTGTAAATCTTTACCTTTTTATACATAGATATAACTATATATAATGTTAATATACATATAGCAATATGATAAAAGAATTTTCCGAACAAATGCGACGTACGCAGTGCAATAAATATATTTAAATAGAAAATTTATTATTTAATTTTGCCAGCGTAATTTCCTTGGTACGTCATATATAGATTTTTATAAAAGTTAAGTCATAATTTAAATGTATTTAATAAATGCTCTAAACAAGACTAATTTAATTAATATAAAATTAAATTAACATAAACACAATATCTCTAAAATATATTCTTTTATCATCTCACGATCTTTTATTTCTGTGTTAATTGAATACTTTTATTTTTCGTAGAATTCTCTAATTATTGTTTTATATGCTTTTTTTTAGTTAAATTCTATACTATATTTTTAATTCTATCAAGAATTTTATTATTTACAGCATAAACATATGTACACCCAGTTCATTTATATCATATATAGAAATAAAATTAATTATTTAGATAATGATTAATTATTATATAATATATATGATATACTTGTTATATTCATTGTATATAATTAATTTTTTACATATATAAAATCGCACTTATAATTGAATTCATTTTTACAGTGTATATCGATTTGAATGCTCAAATTGTGGTTTGTATTTCCTCGAAGAAGGAACTTTCAACGCCATGCCAGCAATAGCACGATTAAATTTATCTAGAAATCGTTTGACTGGTCTTCCCGACGGACTTCTGAGTCACCTCTCGTCTTTGCGAATTCTTGATCTTTCTGACAATATAATTAGTACTTTAGAAAGTAATATGTTCCGTGGTGCCACTAGTTTAACTAAAATCAATCTTGCGGGTAATCCTTTGACAGCATTACAAGTGACACCATTCCTGATGACTCCCAGTCTTAATAAACTCGATGTAAGCAGATGCGCTTTGGAGAGAGTTTGGTCTGAAGCTAGACTTCCACTGAATAGTTTACGGTATACATATTTTTATCGCAACAAAAATTTGTTTTTATACCTGCATTTACAAAACATTTAATCCTTTTATTCTTACTGACCATTTTATATATTATTTATTTATTTTAAATTTGCCTAGTTATATTTCTCACATAAACTAACAATACAAAGATAACAATTCTAAAATAAAATGAAATAATATTGACATTACATCAAAATAATTGTAATAATATATATATATTGCATTTTTAGATCCCTGTCAGTTCGGCAAAATCTTCTTCGTCGGATTACTGTAGAAGAACTAAGAGCAATGCCAAATATTGTTGGTTTGGACTTATCATATAATCCTCTTGATTGTGATGTTGAGTTTAAAGATGCTGTACAATGGCTCACGGATCATGGTGTGACGCCACTTGAATTGTCAAGGTATTTATTCATTTTATAACATATAGTTAACTAATATTTAAAAATTTATGATAATATCTATTTTTCACATTTCAATTTCTATATTTTAATATAGACTTTCAAATAAGTTATAATCGCAATATTATCGAAGCATATAAGGATAAATTTTTATATAATAATTCAAGAAAGTAAATTTAATTATTGAAACTTAGTTTAAAAATACGTAAAAATGAAATAGTAAAATCATTATCAGCATCATTTTATTTCGTATAATTTACTACTAACCATAAACATTATGCAATATTATCTCTTTTAAATAAAGCTTTATTTTTGCTGATGGTTCACATAATACGAAGTTATAAAATTTTAAGCAAATTCGACAGTATTGCTTTTCTTAAACTATTTCAATAGAACCATATCAATGGAAGAAACTTTAAATGTAAAATATGGAAAGCGTATAAATTAAATAGAATACTGTGCATTTGTATAATTTACAGTTATATCAGCAATTATGGTGATAGTGACAACTATCAAGACTCGGAAGGTATCAGTCAATGGACGGATTTAGCAAAAATAGTTTGTGACGGCATTAGTTCTGGACCACGACCGAGACCAGTTCCTCATAAAGAAACGAAGTTGAAAATTTTCCTTGGTGGATTTGACACGTCAGTAGATTCAGACCCTCTACTGAGAAGCAGTGTTGAAAGTGATGAAGTATGCATAAATTTTATAATTTTCATTTTATAAATTTCGTTTTGATTAATGATAGAATATGATAAAGAAATTTATACAAAATGGTCCACAAATCACTTTGCCATTTAAAATTTGTATAAATTTTCTATTGCATAGTTGTAAATATTTGTTTAAAATATTTAATATTTGTTTCTCTGGAAATTTACAATTAAATATTATAATAATAATTCACAACAGAAAAGTTCATAACAGAGCAACGAGAAAAAATAATAGATTTTTATTCTGGAAACAAATGCTACATTATTTTAATGCTATTCTAATGGTATACGAAATCCACTTTTACTTCAATGGATATGTTAATAAGCAAAACACAGCAACCACATTTGGGGTGCTAAAGAGCCAAGAGTTCATCATCGTGAGTTGCATCCTGTAAAGATTACGATATTACAGTTTGATGTGACGTTATATCGCACAGAATAATCGGGCTTTATTCCACGGATTTTTACTTGTTGCTCAGTTCTGAAATTTTCAATTATACATTTCCAAAAACAAATTTCAAGAATTTGAAACAGAAATTTGGAAGTATACAATAAGAAAGAAGTTATATAGCTTTTAAATGTGAAAGTAACTTATAAGCTACCCTGTATAGACAAGTTTAATATTATCTTTTGAGTTTTGTCAATATTGTATAAACTAAAATGTAATTGTAATTATTATACTTATATATACAAAAATTATTTATCTGACACTATGCTTCTAAGTCTACTATAGCATTTTCAATCATTATTATATTTTGTTAACAGAAATTATATGTTAAGAAACATTTTGTATAATGATTCTTATACACTTCTTTGTTTTTTTTCTTGTCAAAAATATTTTTAATAATCATACCAAAATTTGAAGTTATATTCATTTTTATATATACAATAATTATACACATTTCTGGTTCTAATTATTATCAATCAAAATTAATTGATATAATAATGAATATAAAAATTATAAAAAATTATATTGCTTTCAAGAGTTACAATCGAATACAGTTAACATTATGAAATTGTATCTGTATACTGTACATACCTTCTACTTTTTAATCTCAACTTCTTTTAGGAAGCGCTAATTATATTTTATTTTATAAAAACTTTTTAACAATCATAAGGATACTTTTATATAAAAAATTACTTCAATCACGAATAATAAATTGTTCTTTTGTATCAGGACTTTCCTAAACTGCATAACTTTGATCACGGAATAAAGTCAAATGAAGAATCTGAGAAAGCCTGGACAACTCAAGATCAAGAATACGAAGACTTTGTTGCCTCCGAAAATATGGAATATCATCCTTGGTACACTAATGCACTTTGGCCTGTAATTATTGTGATTATCATAATTTTGTTGATTCTTCTACTAACGGCACGTATTACAATTCATTTGACCAAACGGCGAGGTCAGGGACCTGTTATCAGGCCACCACTGATCCTTCGACAAGGTTTAATTGACAATAAGAACTGCGGTTTAGTGTATAAGCCGCTTCAAGAAGAAATCGCTACACCGCATGTTCCGAAACGGGGAAGCTTTTACTCCAGCAGCACATTCCATTATGACAAAATCGTGCCAGAAAGTGTTTAGAATTCGTCATGAATTACAGTTAAATAATTAATTATTTAGCAACCAATATATTTGAATTTAAAGAGGGTAAAAAATATTTAAAAAGATAGAAAATATTCTTAAATATCGATGCGCAATTTAATTATACTCAGAAAAACGTGCCATGTGCAAAAATATTATACTTTTAATAGTAGACACAAAGGGAACATATAGACTTCTACACTTAATATTATAAAATATTCGTAAATACTAATAAAAGTACGGGCAAATATTTTTTAATATGATTAACTAAAATAATTACATTAGGATGAATACTAAAAAGCACGTTTTTCAGAGTGCTTAATGTCGTTGCATTTTCCAAGAATTTTATAATACTTAATAATATTTTGAAAGGAAATTTATACATTTTATATGAAACTCTTACCTGCATAAGTAACTAATATTCTTTTAATCCAAATAAACAATTTTTATTATAAATTGGAATGTTATAATAATAACTCAATTAGACGAACATTTAATTAGTAGTACATAATTACCATACTTTTTTTGTTGATATTGATAATTGTCATTTATAGATAAATAAATGAGTTACTGTAAAAATAACTGAAATTAGAAAAAACAAAAATCGGCAAAAGTTAAAGCAGGATTTTAAAACACAACGAATGTAATTTTACATTTTAAATTTAGATAATTCTGTTCAATCACAGTAATATATACAAACTATAAAATACACGATTCATAATTACGGTGATGGTAACAACATCACTTGTAGCATTTGTTTAAGCCATAGAAAGTTAAGTATTTGTACCAAGTACTACATATAGTACCAAGTGAACTAATTCCTCGTAGTATAAATAGTACATTATGATGTGCTATATATTATGCTACATGTTGTAAATAATGTATAACGTTTTAATAAAATTTTGATTATAATAAAAGATGACAATAAATTTCTTCCTTTGTAATATTTCATTATGTCTGAATAGAGATAATAATCATCTTAATTTGTAAAAACAATATGATACTTTTACTGCAACTTGTACAGGTATTATAATGATATGATATATTAAAAATGCCAAATATATTAATAGATGAATATACTTCACATATTCTAGAGTAATAATAATATTATTTTTTATATGTATATGTATAACTATTCTCTACTGTCATTTTTTACATAATATTTACTATATTAATGTATAACGTATAACATGAAATCAAATATTAATATGTCTAGTGCAAGAATATTTTAATCATTATACTTTTACACACTATACTTATACATATGTATATGTGTATGTGTATTGTTACACATTTGACTTTAAATATTTAAAGAAAATTCAATTAAATAGTGAATATAATATATCTAAAAGAAATAAAATTTCAAACTATAAAATAATAGAGAACTTTCAAAATATTGTAGATTTGAAATATATCATGTACATATAAAATTTAATGGTACATACCATATGATGTACGGTTCGTATTCGTGAAAATAATCTCAATATGCAGTTAACATGTTTTGATCCTATTATCAGTGATGCTAACTAATATAAATAAACTGATAACATGTAAGTGTTCTAAGCAACTTGTTACCTAACTATAGTTTCGATATAATAGTTTTCGAATATACATATTTTGTACCAGTTTATACATATAAAATTCAAAGAATACTACGTTATTAATTAAATGTATTAATTTCAATTAATAAACAGTATTGTATGTATCATGATATGTATCTAATGTATCATTAGAAGTTAATACGACTAAATTGTTATTAAACATTTCTTGTTAGTGGGAATGTAAATGATAATATTAATACGGCACTGACTGTTATCTACGTAATATTATGTCACACGTATGTGTATATATAGTAGATAACTAGAAGAGAATAATATCTGAAGACTCAGTAGAAAACAGCACAAGAGATCAAAGGATACTTGAAACATATGTCAATACTTTTGCTTTAAATTCTCGTTTTATTTATAATTATATATTATATTACGAAAAGATGATTTCCAAAAAACGTATCATAGATCTATTGCGAGTTATTTCTTCTCAATCGTGAGTATATACATATATGTAATATACATACACATGTACATATACATATGGATATTGTTTTGATAATGTATTCGTACTATAAGTCGAAAAAATTATATATATATTATACACTTAATCTATATTAAAACAATTTCACATTATTTTTTATATAATGCTTAACAGGATATTTAATGATATTAATATTTACGCAATATACTAAAAGATTATAGATTTTACAATATTTATTAATTCTATAATATTGACATATGATATAAAAAATATAAACTAATTTATACTAAAAATTTTAAACAATATATATTTATATATAATTAATGTGTCTGATAATAAATAAATAAATAAATAAATTTGTATTATTTAACAAAATTATATTGAACATAACACATTCAATTATGTATAATAATATGTGCTTAATATGTATTTAATATACTCATGTTACAAATGTACAAATATTACAAATTTTTATATATTTTGAGATCAATAATTTTGTTTTTTCATTGGCATTCTTATTGTATTTTAAATTAATTTTAATTAAACATTTTTGGTATTAATTGATGAAAATTGTAGATGTAAATGTCCAGCTCATGGAAATCCAGGAGGTACAACTATGTATGAATTAAGAAAAGCTCGTAGTACAGTAGCTAATGCTATACCAGCAAAAGAATATGCATTTGAAGTATGTATTTTCAAAATTTCATGACAAATGACCTAATATTGAAGCTAAGTCTGTTATTGATTAAATAATTATAAAATGTAAAGAAGATTGTAATTCATTTAAATATTTTTAACACTATCATACTATGCTGTCATGTGAAATTTATAGTAGAATCCATCATATATATTTAGAATTATTTTACTTTTTCCAATAGTCTGTGATGTCTATATGATGCTTTTTCCTGAATTTTTGAGAAATAGAAATTTAATAATAAATTCAATAATTCAATCCTTTATTTTACTCTTTTGATTCATATTTCTCAAATAAAAAGTATAAAAAATAGCATTGGAGTTAAATTTATACATCTTTTATTCATTAAACTTAGACTAAATATTAGTTTTATTAATTTTATCTTGATTAAAATAATTGCAGATGGCTTGTTCTACAGTGCGGTATGGCGTTGGTGTTACAAAAGAACTCGGTATGGATATGCAAAATTTTAATTCAAAGAATGTGTGTTTGATGACAGATTCCAACTTAATAAATTTACCACCTTTTAAAACTGCTATGGACAGCCTTACTAAATATGGAATTCAAACTACAGTTTACGATAGTGTACGTGTAGAACCCACAGAACAAAGTCTGAAAGATTCCATTGAATTCGCTAAACGTGGACAATTTGATGCTTTTATAGCGGTAAGAGACAAATATATGCGCAAATCTTATTTGAAAATTACCAGTCTCATTTTTCTAAAATATGTTTAGGACATATTTTTATGTTTCTTAACTAGCAAGCAGCAATTCTGCATTTTGAGAAATAAAGAATTAGGAAGATAATTAGTTTTATCAAATCTGCATTGTAAGAAGAAAAAATGAAGATAATTACTCCTATATTTTTAAAATTTACAAGATTAGCTATAGTTTTAATTGCTGTAGCTATAAATTAATAACACATTATTTATTTACTATGAAGTTTAATATAGGTTTAATATTATTATTAGGTAGGAGGTGGTTCAGTGATGGACACTTGTAAAGCTGCAAATCTTTATAGTTCTGATCCCCAAGCAGACTTGTTAGATTACGTAAATCCACCAATTGGTAAAGGAAAACCAATTACAGTGCCATTAAAACCATTAATAGCAGTACCAACTACTTCTGGTACTGGTTCAGAAACAACTGGTGTTTCTATCTTTGATTATCAACCACTTAAAGCCAAAACTGGAATTGCTAATAGGTAACTTATTATCAATGATCTTATCAAGGAAAAGGTACTAATATGATATATAAATAGCAATGTTGCAATATAATTATTATTTAATTGTAAACAATTGACATTTTGTGTATGAATGAGTACATGTGTGTTATATATTATTAAACGTTATTTGTAATTCAAATTATTCAGAACAATTATTTATTTTGAGAATTTTAATTACTACAGAGCTCTGAGACCTACCTTAGGTCTTATTGATCCAAATCATACATTAAGCATGCCAGAAAGAGTCTGTGCTTATTCTGGTTTTGATGTGCTTTGTCATGCTCTTGAATCTTTTACTGCAATACCATATACAGAAAGAGCTTGTCCTTCCAATCCAATTCTTAGACCAGCCTATCAAGGTAGCAATCCTATTAGTGATGTGTGGGCAAAATATGCTCTTCAAATAATGTGCAAGTATGTAATTGTTTGTTGTAAAAAAAGTATATAACGATTATAATAAACAAGTAGAATATCATAAGAATATAAATTTTAATATTTTTAATATGGCCTACATTAACATAATTTGCTTTCTTTTTATAACTTTCTTAAGAACTATTTATATTTGTATAGTTTCCATATTGTATCTCTATTACTTCCAATTACAAAATGAAATTAGCAATAAAGTAATAATTGTATAAATTAAAAAAATGTTTTTAAATATAATATTTATGCTTTCTCCACATAGATATTTTAAAAGAGCTGTATATAACCAAGATGATCTTGAAGCTAGAAGTAACATGCATCTTGCAAGTACCATGGCAGGTGTTGGATTTGGTAATGCTGGAGTTCACCTTTGTCATGCACTTTCTTATTCTATTAGTGGAAATGTTCATAATTTTCAGCCAGAGGTATGTACATTTAATTTTAAATGATAGAAAAGATAATAATTTTATCAACTTGTTCGTAAAAACAAAACATATTAAATGCATTATTACACACTTTTCTGTACTTAAATTGCTACAATATAAAAGTGTAAATTTTTTTATTACACAAAAATGTAAGAATTAAGGAAAATGTTAATTATCAAAATTAAAGTAGGTATGATTTGTGACATTAAAATCACATCTTATGCCATATACAATAAATATAAAATAAATGTACATATACATTAAACACAACAGATAGTTATTGACAATTATTGTCATTAAATTATGTTGCAAATATTTATTTATATATATTAAATGTAATTAACCCTATATAATTATACAGGGTGGTTGGTAACTGGTGGTACAAGCGGAAAGGGGGTGATTCTACGCGAAAAAAGAAATCGAAAATATAGAATAAAAATTTTTTTATTTTCTTTTTTTTTTTAATTTTCCATCGAGACAACGATCTACAGTGAGATCCGTTATAACGAGACGTGATAAAGTGCACGCGTACCGAGCGAAAATTCAAAGTCGATTTTCTCGAAAACAAAGCCTCAAATGAAAAATTTTTATTCTATATTTTTGACTTCTTTTTTCGCGTAGAATCACCCCCTTTCCGCTTGTACCACCAGTTACCAACCACCCTGTATAATTATATAGGGTTAATTACATTTAATATATATAAATAAATATTTGTTGAATTATAATATTGATGCATTGTTTATTATAGGGTTATAACAAAGATCATCCTATAGTGCCACATGGTCTTTCAGTTGTTATATCAGCACCTGCTGTATTTTCTTTTACTGGGAGTGGATGTGCAGAAAGGCATTTAGAAGCTGCTGAATTACTTGGTGCTGATATTAACCGAGCTAAAAAAAGTGATGCTGGCAAAATATTATCAGACGTTGTAAAAGAGTACATGCAAGTGATGAAAATTGAAAATGGTTTGACTGAATTAGGTTTCACAAAGGAAGATATACCTAATTTAGTCAAAGGCACACTACCACAAGTAAGGTTCATTATTACGATATGGATACGGTGCGTTTTCTGACGAATTAACGTTTTGACATTATTAAGAGACATATTAAGAGATTAATAATTCAATGAATTATTGTCACTGAATTAGTATTAGATAAAATGTGACATATAATTATGTACAGTGTCCTATTTAAATCGATTCCTGCGAATATTTCCAAAATGCATTAATCGATCTTTCCTTGAATAGTTTCAAAGTATAGTTCAAGAGTTCAAGTAGTTAAAGTATAGTTCAAGTTCAAATAGTTCAAAGAATAGTTTCATCCCATCTAAAAAAGCAAAGCTGATCTCCATATGTTTTTTCTAGTACCATAAGTAAATTCGGAGATATTCGCAGGGACGTATTTAAATAGGACACCCTGTTTATAGTTATTATAGCTCAATTCGGTTGTTGCACATTTTTCACTGATTATGTAAATGAATTCAGGAAACAGAAATTTTAGACACATATTTTCTGGTTTTTAAAAATTGTTAAAAAGGAAAAGTTATAAGAAATTAAAAATTTAGAAAACCGAACGTCTCCGACTACATACCGAATATACCCGAAGAACGTGTAATGTTACACGTCTGCGAAGGCGCCACACGTGTACTGCCATGCATGAAAGAAACGGACTCGTGACGTTACAAAGGAGGCAGCTAAGAAACGCGCGTTTCCACGCCGTTCAAATATCAGCAAAGTTTTAATTTAATTATTTTGATTAATAAGTAAATGTATGTAACGAAAATGTAAACTAATTGCTTCTAGGAACCAAAATTTTTGTCTTTAGTAACTTTCTAAATGAAATCGGCAATTTTAAACAGATAAACAGATAACAATTTCTTGCAAATTAAAATATTTTTCTTAATTTCAATAATTTCATTAAATCGAACTGTTTAAAATTATCTCTCACCCAGAAAACATATGTACATATTTTGGTAGGTAGAAAAACCACAATCAATTTGCAGTAGTGATTTATTAGTCACTATACATTATGAATTATGACAATCAAATAAATTTGCCATATTTTTGAAATTTCATACTGCTATATATGACGAATTCATACAATTGTTACATAATAATATATATTTTTATATTTTATTATTTGTATGATCATACAATATTTTTTTCACACACATTTAAAGCTATAAATAATCTTTGAGCTTATTTCATTACTAATCCAGTCTTACATTATTTTCAGCATCGTATTACAAAATTGGCACCACGAGAACAATCAAAGGAAGATCTCACACAGTTGTTTGAAAACTCATTTACAATTTATTAAAAAAATAATGTTTCTCAATATGTACTGTATGTATTTTCTCAAAGACAACATTTGATCTATTTTTTAATATCTACTTTTTCTAAATGAAATTTTGTTATTTTTAATATATTTTATATACAAACACAAATGTTTTTTTAATGGGAATATATAATTATACTTAATTAATTGTTACATAATTGTTAATCACTAAACTAAGTATCCAAATAAACACTATCAAACTAAACACTAAATATCCGAAATATTAAACATACCAGTTACATTATTTTTAAAGTCATTTCATCAGAAAATCCTTTATAAAGCACTCATCATTATGATAATGATGAAAAGGATTCCTGAATTTAATGACTTGTAGTCTGCGAAACAATTACTTATAAATTTTTACTTCTATTCTAACACTGTACATAATTTTTGTTTGATAACACACAGAATTTGATTACCTACGCCAAATACATCGCATATTACTATTTTATTATTAACAGTAAAACTTTTATATATAAGAAATTAGAGATTAGCTACAGATTAATATTCATCTGAAGCAGTCAAATTCTCTTTTATGAATTTAACTAAATATTTAATAAATATTTTCAATTATTTATCATAAACTTTAGGTGGAAACAGTTCGTCCTGTTTACAATATATGTCATCGAAAAATGTAGGACAGTCATAAGGTGAGTTGACCGATTTTACACACTTAAATACTAATATTGCATCTATAGCGCAAATGAAACATTTTATTAATTTCTTTTTTATTATTTAATATTTGAAAGATGACTTTTAGTTATTATAAGAAATGTATTGAGCATAAAATTTATTAGTACCAATTTTTTTAATATATAAAAATTATACATGTAAAATATACAAATTAATATTAAGTCATTAAAATATAAAATATCATTTGTAGTGTACTGAATAAGGTGTTGTAAAATATTTTATTTTAAAAAATTTAAAAGTTGAAATTAATTATTTACTGTAGCAATTATTTTAATGTACAAATGATATTTCTAATTTTTAATAATATTAATTTGCATTTAGGAACATGTATCATGAATTTTTATATTAAAAAGGAAGATACTAATAAATAATTTACTATATAATAATACATTTCACAGTTCAAATAGAATTAAGGCATTGTCTTTATTGTATCAAATATTCCCTTCCTTCTGTTTTGTACTATGACGCGACTTCATTTTTCATATGTAGTGCAAAATCCGTTTGATATAATAAAGATGTATGAACAAAAATAGAATTTTTTCTTGAAAAATTTGTCTTTTATGATGAATGTTATTAATGAAAAATATTTCTTTTAATTTACGAATATCTTTTTCCGGACCGAAGTTGTTTAAATGATACTGAAATTTATGATATTATTTATGAATATAGGTATACGTAATATGACTTATCATATCAATATAGTTCAAAGTTAAGTATTGCAACAAATTACCTTTAACATCTTATTAGAAGGACATTTGTATCTTATTTTTTCTGTAATTTCCTGTAGTGAATCTTCCATGTTTAATTGGTATTAGAATATGTTACATTTTATTTTAAATTATGAATTATTCGTGTCTTCTTCGAGCTACAAAATATTAGAAATGCTTCATAATTTATTTATTCGTTTTAATAATATGTATCGTATACACATTCTACTATTACAATATTACAAATTTTATCGAAAATAATATTAGTTCACTTACCGTCGAACCTCCTTAAATAAAGTCCGTTCTGATAATAAATATCCATTTCGGTATTTCACAGCTTGAGCTGACTTCCTTGACTGCGAGCATGTGTAATACTGTTCATGAAGGAACGTCTTGGGATTAATTCGCTCTTGTAACAATGTTGATGTTTGCTTTCCAATATCAAACTATTTCGCATTTCATAATGGTCGTAGTAGATATGTACGGGAAAAAAAAAGAAGATAATAATAATATTACTACTGTGGTCCCTCTATGATATTCGTTCAAATGATATTGAAAGGATGATTCCAAAAATACACATGTATACATATGTATACTATACTGTGTATATATTCAGAACATTTAATTCACATTGCTGTTAATATTTAGAAATGTTGATATCGACAGAAATGACCGACTATGAAATAGTACATACATTTAATTAAATCAACTATACGAATATTTGACGAATTTTCAAAATCTGCTTTCTGTTACATGATGCTTCGTACTGAAAAATTTTAACCTATTTTTACATGAATTTTTAAATTAATTTTCCAAACATAAGTTGAACGACTTTGAAAACATGTATTTCTATAAATAGTATTACACATATACAGGATATATGTATGTATGTGTGTACTATGCTATTCTTGTTACGATTTTTCAAACCCTTACTTTTACAACAAAAATGTTTTGAATAAAAGTTAAACAGATTTCAACTGGCTATAAATTGCGAAATAAAAAATTCCAAAAAAAATTATTTTTCAACAAAAAGCCCACCTCACTTTGACTTCTGTAAATGACACTACGTATTTTCAATGTCATATTGTTGTACCTGATGTTAAGACGCATTATATATATACTACTATCATACTATGCCTTTAAAATGACCTTGAAATAACCTTGAAAGTTGAAATGTTAACTTAATCAGTGCCGTATTTTTACACCAACAACCTTAAAAATTAAGTTTTATACACGAATATTTTTTAATATTTCTTACACTTCGCTTAAAATGTATTTTATTCTTGAGATATTATTTTATACTTTCAAATTATCAAGATGTTATCTAAAATTCTAAACTATGATAATTTATTTTATAACCGAATTTAACATTCTTTCATTAAATTTTTCAGTAATCATGATATGACAAGTTTATATTATATATTCTTTCCGTGTATCGTAAATGTTTATTATATTATGAACAAATTTTGATAAAAAAACTACTTTCCGATATGTCTATTTCAATTTTGTATACAAATTCGCACTATTGACTTTTTGACGTTTCGGAACAACTAAAATAAGTACAATACAAATGCTGTATATAATTTTGAAATATTATAAACTGATACTAGGAAACATTTTCGTAAAGTTATGGCATTTGTAGGAATTAATGGATTTGGAAGAATAGGAAGAATGTGTTTACGTGCTTGTCTTGAAAAGGATGTTACGGTAACGAATTAGTAAAAAATTACTTTTACATGCAAATATTTTTATATCAAGCAAGTGTAAAATAAATATATTGTATTAGGTTAAGATGATAAATGATCCGTATATTTCAACCGATTATATGATATATTTATTTAAATTTGACTCGACTCATGGTCCTTATCCTGTAAAGCTGGAATGTGAAAATGGATTTATTATTATCGGAGGTATATTTAATAATTCATACATTATATTTTACTTGAGTCAATTTAATTAAAGCTGGCGCTGCACAAACTTTGTATTTAATACTATATACATATTGTATTAATGATATAATGAAGTAAATATATCATTATAATATAAGTACAAAAGATCGATTAATAAATTATAGATTCACAAACTTATGAAATTAATACTTAATAAATTTTTTCTTTTGAAGACAACAAAATAGCTACATCTCAAGAAAAAAACCCATGTAAAATAAATTGGAGAGAGGCAGGTGTAACATATGTAATTGAGGCTACTGGGCTTTTTACTACCTTAGAAAAAGCAAGCGTAAGAAAAGAGATTGTTCCTTCATACCTATTTTGGTGTATTTGTTAATAGTCGTATTACAATCTCGATTTAATATTTACAATCGTCTATATTATAATGCTACTTAGAAAGCTTTCGTTTATTATCCAAACTTCGTAACTCATTATAAAGAGTAGAAATTTTTCTATTTCATGAAAAAACTGAACTTATATATAATACATACATAAAAAATGTATAAAGATATATTTAAATTCTATTACATAAAATAAATGTTTAGAGAATAAAGGAAACATCTGCCTCATTTTAGTTACATATGGACGGTGGAGCTAAAAGAGTAATTATTACAGCACCTTCTATAGATGCATCGATGATCGTTTATGGTGTAAATCATGCTTGTTATGATCCAAAAAAAGGTAAAATAATATCAGCTGCTTCTTGTACAACAAACTGTGCAGCACCTATCATTCGATTGATGCATGATAAATTCGACGTTATTGAAGTAATGATCAGTAGCGTACACGCTTTAACATCGATGCAACGAACTTTAGATGGGCCCCTAGAGAGAGGAAAGGTATTTACGAAATATTTTATCAAACTCTCTTTATTTACGAAAACCCATACTTTTAATAGTTTTAATAGTTATAATAGTATTATTAATGTGTCACACAAAAAATATTACAGAAATAAAATATGCTACTTAATAAGGAAAGTATTACGTTTCTAATATAGCAATAAAAACACTCTTTAATAGAATAATATATTTTTTGTCCTTAGTATCACAGCTATTAAAATAAATCAAATTTTGTCGTCGAATCTAATGTTTACGTTACGTTATGTATTAATAGAGATAGTAATTAGGAATTGATTGCGATTAATGATTAACTTAATAAGTTCTTTTATTTTCATATAATATTAGGACGAACAAAACTAATTCGAACTTTAACACTTACTGATATAACTTGTGCATATTGATTTGTTTTACTAATTTAAGAAAATACGTTATAATTGTATCTGTATTGTAGTTGTGGAGAGATGGTAGAGGTGCTCTCCAAAATATTATACCGACGTCTTCAGGTGCTGCCAAATCATTGGACAAAATTATCCCTGAACTGAAAGGCAAAATATCTGCTATAGCCTTTAGAGTACCAATTCCAAATGTTTCTTTATGTGACATGACTTTTCGGTAATGCCAATTACAGTAACTTATTTGATTACAGTAAAAATTTTATTACATTATATATATATATCACATATAATATTACAAGATTTCAAAACAAAAAACATTAATTTTAAAGAACAAAGTAGCTTTATATCAACAGTAATTAACTTTCCTTAATTTATAAAATTAATACAAACAAATATCAAATAGCAACATGTGTCATATTTATACAGTTTTATTAATGTTAGAGTTAATAAACCGACAACGTATGAAGAAGTGAAGGAAGCAATGAAAACAGCGTCAGAGAATGATCTAAACGGTATATTGGGTTATACAGATGATGATTGTGTGTCATCCGACTTCAATAAGACAAGCTTTTCGTGTATTTTCGATGCCAAAGCTGGAATTCCTCAGACAAGCACATTCATCAAAGTTGTTGCCTGGTAATTATCAAGTCAAATTATTTCATAAACAATATTTTTGACTTTTGTGAACTTACCGAATTATTCCTTCTATTAATATAATAATCAATTTAAATAACAACACAAGCAATATAAATTTTTCTTAATTATTTGTTATTTATTCGTATATGTACATAAATTACATTTAAATGCATTTGAAATTTATATATACAGATATAAATACTATTATCAAATTCTTTTGGAAATCGTAAAATAATAAATTTTATGTTCAACTACTTTAGATTATTTTGTAACAAATTTTCAAACTGATTAATCTTTAAATATAAATACATAACAAAATATAACATAAAATAATTAATGAAGTAAATATAAAGTTTGTTAGTTAATTAACGAAAATATAAATATTTGTAGGTATGACAATGAATATGGTTATGCACATCGTATAGTGGATTTGATACAATACATGTATCAAGTTGATTCCGGTAATATACCAGTACCTGTACAGGAGTTAGATGAAAGTGAAGATTAATTATTTCATTCAGTAAGAAAAATGTATTATAAGATTACGTTTTATGCAAAGTAATCTTAATATGTATTCTATTCATATCTCCTATTAATTTATATATCTCTTATAAGTTTAATCCCTTATTAATTTTAAACAAAAGATCACTATTGCATTAAAGTTTCATTCATTGCATTTTGTTGTATGTATGTATATCTTGTTTGTTAAATAAAATTGTTAAATAGAGAAGGTTTATATATTGTATAAATTTAATGAAAGTAAATCTGTATTAATTTTATCTACCTAATTCATTTTTTAAATACACAAATGTTACACGAGAACAAATTTATATCTAGCGGCTTCTGAATACGTCGATAGGAACGTGTACTCACGTGATCCGAGAATAGCCGATGATGTGCGAAAATAAGGAACGGTTACAGCGCATACGCCTAAAACTGGTACCGGTTATATTAACGTTGCCTGCCCTTCAAATGACACTGCTTTTGCGGTAAGCGTAGCGTTCAGATTGCTTTTTCACGTAAGTACCACTAGTTTAGAACTAACTCTTAATTTATCGTATGTTTTCCTACAATTTAATTTTTCCACTACGTCATATTTATATACAATAAACTACAGTCTTTCAATTGATGTTAATAAAACAATAATAAAATTCAGAATTTTGCTTATATCTAGGATTACATAGCATGTTCTTAGTACATGTACGTTTTATTCACACCGGTTGATATGACGTCATTCAAACTAAGTATCTTTCTATAATAATTTTTGCGGTAGTAGATACAAAATCTGTTCCAGAATCTCTGCGAAAGCGTGTACTGATATCTTTCTAATATGTCTGAATTTGTCTTTTCGTCCAATCACATTATTTCAATTTTTATTAGCGTTGGTTTTATTATATTTGTTACATATATGCTATGTATTTCATTCCTACTCACGTAACCCAACTTTTTTACATACTACGAATTTGTTCGATCTCGACATTGTACAACATTAATTATTTAAAAACGAAATTCAGAATTCACGAACTTTATTAAATATGAAATTATTTGTGAAAGATTTTGATTTTATGAAAAAATCTACTTTTATGCATACATATGTGTTCTTAATTTGATGTAACATAATCTTTTACAAAATAGATTTTGTTACCGTTATATTAGTATTTTTATATGTTTTGAAAAAAATCTAAAAGCTATATATTAAAATTCAGACAATTATTAAAAGCTACTAGTTTTATTTTAATATAAATATAAATATAAATTATAGTAACGAATTTTTAAATCGAATAAGATAGTAATACGATTCATTCTACATACTAATATACATTCCGCTACATACATTTCTTTTGTAATGTTTCAATATTATTACAAATAATATTGAATATAAAATATGTGTATGCACATACATACATCATCGTAAAAGTCGAAGCATGAATATGTGAAAAAGGTCACGTTCGTCTTTAAGTACAAATTGGCGTTGAGAGATCTTATTGACCTTGAGTGACCTTTAATATTAAACCTTGTTTTATAAGACAAATATCTGAATTATAATATTATTTCTGTTTGTAATAAATTATTTAATTTAATAATGCAGACTACAGAAATCGTTTTTAATACTAATGCAAGAATATTAAAAACATCCAACTTTATTTGATGTATCTATGTTTATACATTAAATTATTCATGTTTTCGTTAGAGCAGTAATATTTACAACAAAACACAATTGAATTTACAATAAATCAAAATATGCATATATGTGTATTTTACATTATGAATTATTTATATTTCAATATTTTTATATTTGTAATCTAATCAAAAAAATAATGCTATGCTTTAAATTTAATTATACCAAATAACATTCTGAATATAAAATCATTATAAATCGAAAAAATATATTACACCTATTTGAGGTTATGCCGTTATTATTGGGATTAACTTCACTTATATCGATCACACAAAAATTACTTTATAAAAGCAAATTGGTATATGCCGAGTCAAAAATATGTTATCAAAAGATAAACCGCACATTTTCCAGTTGCATAGAAGAAGACGACGACATGAGCAAAATCGGAATCAACGGATTCGGCCGCATTGGTCGTCTTGTGCTTAGGGCCTCTCTTGATCGTGGTGCCCAGGTAAATAATTTGTTAATTTCATATGCTTTTGTACTTTCAACTTTTTTCATTATTATAATTTTAATAGGTTGTAGCTATTAATGATCCCTTTATTGGTTTGGACTATATGGTATATATGTTCAAATATGACTCCACTCATGGAAGATTTAAGGGAGAGGTCAAAGCCGAAAATGGTTGCTTAGTTGTCAATGGCAATAAAATTGCTGTGTTCAGTGAGCGCGAGCCAAAAGCTATTCCATGGGCAAAAGCTGGAGCTGAATATGTTGTAGAATCTACTGGAGTCTTCACTACCATAGAAAAGGCTTCTGTATGTACAAACCTGTATATTTATTTTAAAAAGAGAGAGGGAGAGAGAGAAATGTATTCATATATAAATAATTATTTTAATCTTTTAGGCTCATTTGGAAGGTGGTGCAAAGAAAGTTATTATTTCTGCACCGTCAGCTGATGCACCTATGTTTGTTGTTGGTGTTAACTTGGAAGCTTATAATCCAAGTTATAAAGTTATCTCTAATGCTTCCTGCACTACTAATTGTTTAGCTCCTCTTGCTAAAGTTATTCATGACAATTTTGAAATCGTTGAGGGTCTTATGACTACTGTACATGCTATTACTGCTACTCAGAAAACTGTTGATGGACCTTCTGGAAAGGTATATCAAATTTTTTCTAATAATATATTTCTTCACTCTATAATTGGTTTTTGTTTCATCATACTTAATGTTTCCTATTTGGTTTTATAACAGTTATGGCGTGACGGTCGCGGTGCAGCACAAAATATTATTCCAGCTGCAACTGGTGCAGCTAAAGCTGTTGGTAAAGTCATTCCAGCCCTTAATGGAAAACTGACTGGTATGGCATTCCGTGTACCGGTACATAATGTATCGGTTGTTGACTTAACGGTTAGACTTGCCAAACCTGCGTCCTATGATGCTATTAAGGCTAAAATAAAGGAAGCTGCTGAAGGACCCTTGAAGGGAATTTTGGGATATACAGAAGATGATGTAGTATCTTCCGATTTTATTGGTGATAACCACTCCAGTATTTTTGATGCTAAAGCCGGCATACCTTTGAATGATAACTTTGTTAAGTTAATTTCGTGGTATGATAATGAATATGGTTATTCTAACCGCGTCGTTGATTTAATTAAGTACATACAAACAAAAGATAACTAAAATTTTACTCATATTTATGTGTAACACATTTCGTAAACTGTTCTATATGATAATGTTATATGAGTTATATATCGTTATTTTATAGATACTTCAGATTAAATAACATTCTAACCAGTAGAGTTTCCAACCAACAATTGAGAATGTAAGATTGAGAATATTTTTAGTAAACCGTTTCTTTCGCACATTACATAGTTGTAACTAATAATATCTAGGCAAAACAAGTACAAAAGGAAGCTGGTTTTAGGGTTTGTCACATTACTTAATTCGAATTTCTGTTTATGGTTTTCAAATATGTTCATAAATATATTCAAGTGCAAGTATAACGCATATTTATGAGAGTTATGTAGTCAACTGTAACGTAAATTATTCTTGGATCATATATAATATTATCTAAGTAAGAGTAATGTATGTTACATTCAATTACTTTATATCATTTTATTCATTCATCAACATTCACAACCAAGATTTTAACATATTTGTGATTTCTTCCTGTAATATTATTTGCCATTCAAGACATTGATATCAATAAAAATTGTTATGAAACTAAGAGAATGTTTTATTTAGTCTTTGAACATTTCTTTATCTTCTTATATATTGATACATTTTTACAGCATTATATGAATAGTAGGAATGGAATAAATCAACAGTTAACTTCCAGTTAACTTACATAATAGTTAACTCATATACTTTCTGTACAACTTCTGTACATTTACAAAAAGATATTTTAATATGATTATTGATTGGAATATTTCTAAATAACTTTAACAAAAGTTCTGGCCATCAGAAGTGGCTGCAATATTAATTACAATATTCTTAAAGTATTGTATTATATGGCACAAGGAATAGTTACTTTATATTTCTCATTTATATTAAATTAGTTTTTATAATGAGATATCGAACAAAACATTTTGCAGAACATTACGTTTATATACAAATTAAGTCATACGATTTATGATGTAATATTTTTTATTCCGATTGAAAACAATACGTTGAATAATCTATGTAGAACAAAAGTAATCCATAAAAATTGAAAGTATCAACGTTTCTTTTTAAAGTATATTTATTCTTTGAGTGTTCTGTTCCTGCAGACTTCATTTTCTCTCATTCCTTGTTCTAATTCTATTTGCTATGTACAATTATCATCATGAAATGAAATACATTGTTACACTTTAGGAATACCAATTTGTTATGTCATGCTGTGAAAAATTTGATAGTACAGCAATACGAAAATACAGTTTTATTTTGTTGTCGTAAACAATAAATATCTATTACTCGCTTTTATAGTATGTTTTTTTTATAGTTTTGTAGTATACAATAATCATCAAGCTTTCACTATAGCTTGATGCGATTATTCAACTTTAAAAACTTTGTAATATATAAAGAACTATTTCTCAGCAATTTAGTACAGTACTATGCATAAAAAATATAAGTTTTTAAAATTATTTGAACGTTAAAATGCTGTAACATTTGAATACTAGAGAGTGGCAGATGTTACTACAATATTTGTACCCACGCTTCTATAATGCACACTGGAATTATCTGTGAAAGAGGACAAAATGTGAATAATAGCGTAACCACAAAGAATTTTCATTGATATTTCTTCAACGTTTCTGTTCTAGAATGAAAGAAATATCCATTTCCTTTCAATAATACAATTATTCAAGAGCAATTTAAATATTTCTATTAGTAAACCATACATTATTAAAACATGGAAAATATATAAAGGGACATTTAAAATCTAATATTTTACTAATTAACGATAGAAATAGGTTGAATATTTAACATTGGATAATTTTTATTACTACCTGCTCTGTAATGTTATTTTTTGGTTACGCTAACTGTTGTGGATGTACGAAACTTTGCAAAAGGAAATACTCTAGACTAGCATGACACATGAGTTACTCGATTTTACAACAAATTTAGGAAAAATTAATAATTCATAGTTTGGAGTTTTTACAAATGATAACAAATTACATCATGTTAAAAGTAAAAGCTTTGCACGAAGATTTATACGTTCCTGAAGTGCGCTAGCTAATTCTCGTGTTAATTCTTCACAAACTAATCGCAGTTCGGCATTTTTCTCTCGTAATTCTTGTAATGTTAATTTCTTTGATTCTTCTAATTCATCCTTGGGAGCATCTTCATCTCCTTCTCGCTCTGTAAATGAAGCAAAAAGTTAAGAGATGATAATACTCTGTACATTGAAATTCAAATAAGAAAAATAAAGAAAATGAAAAACTCACTTGGACTGGGTTTTCTATAAATATGAAATGCACCACAGACACCAGTAAATTGCTGTGATTGTGGAGTTTCCAGAGGTGGATTTTCAGGTAGTTCGCTCTTTGGAGAAAAGTGAGAAAAATCAGCAACAAAACCTTGACTTTCATTTAAGGCTTTTTGTCCTTCTCCCTCACTTTTTTGACCAACCAATTTTCGAGGTGAAGTCTGTAGTAGAGATACATGACAAAATTTTCTTTATAACAATAATTTTGCCTACATATTTTAACTTTCCGAATCCATAACATTGTTAACATCTAAAGTATCTGAAATATCTACTGTGCGGATCCATAAAAAGCAGCTTAATTAAATGTAGTTCTCATTATTAATAATTTTAATCTAGGTGTTTGGTAATAGAATGATTAAAAAATGGATAAAAGTACTTACAATTCCAGGAGAGATTCTTGGTGGAACTAGCGGAGGTGCTCCAAGGAAACTTTGACCATTTTTCCCTACAAGAACGCGCACAGTTTGAAGCGTAAAACTTTGCTTTCTCAGCCACAGATGAAAAGTATCGCAGAGTATTGGTAGCAACATATACCTAATTTATTAAGATCAAGACTAGAACTTCTTGCATGTGTTCTGTATGGTCTGGGTGGTGGTGGAGGTGGTGGTTCCTTCTTTGGAGTTACTATAATAGCTTCTTCAGGAGGTGGAGGTGGTTTTTTTATGAGAGGTCGTTGCACCAATGCACTTGCAGTACGTTGGAGATCGTCATCTCCCAACGTAGTGCAGCTGCTACTGTTACCATTTGCTCCAGAGGCAAGAATCGCTGCTTCAGGTGTTAAACGTAATGGTACCGGATGTAGAATTTTAGGATCTTTTTCAACAGCAGATTTTTGAAAATCAAAATTCACTAGTTGCAAACCTGGGCTAGTTAAAGAACTGCTAGTCCCAGTTGGTGAATCAACAAATTTTGTCCATTCTTTATTTCTTTCACGAGTACCAGTGGTATTAGGTGGAGTTTTTTGAGTAATTGTAGTTTGTGGAATAGGTGGTGGACCAGTTTTTTGCTTAAGCAAAGGAATTAATAAAGGTGGAGGTAAGACATCAGGTAGAGGCACATGATTTCTTCGTAACACAACAAGATGCATAGCCACAAAAAATTCTTGTAAACTCAACGCTCCATCTCTGGTAATATCCGCAAGTTGCCAAATGCGACTAAGTTCTCCTAAAGGAAGTCCAGACTTTTCAAAAAATGTTCTGGCTATGGGTCCGTGTAAAAGCCCCTCAGGATCAAGTTGCAATTGTGTAAATTGAGCAGCATAATATTCACGCTGTTCATCACTAATTATCCATACTTCTTCAGGTGGAAACGAGCCATCACCATCTCCATCACCTTCATCACTGCTATGACGTTCTGAACTTTCTTCTTCGGTTCCTAGTAATTGCCTCTGCTCTTCGGATACCAACAATCCTTGCCAACCTCCAGATACAGAATCTAATATAGTTTCACCACCTATGTCATTGTTTCTTTCCTGTATTATACTATTTGTTGGAGTAGGTGAATCTGTACTACCGCCAGTTTCCCTTGGAGATTCTGCTTCACTTTCACTTTCTGTGGTACTCTCAGGAGCATGTCGATGACTTTTTACAGCTCTGTTTGAATCTGAACTTCTTCTATCATCTTCTTCCCCAGATGCTGGCCAAGTAAATCTTGGTAAGGTAATAACATCCAAGGGCATAGTAATTATATCTTTACGGATACTAAGTCCTGCTTGATGAGCTGCTACAAGTTTCAACAGTACATAAAATTGTTTCTTTCCAAGATGTGTACCAATGTGTGCTGCTTCAGTTCCAAAACAGATATCCAATATCTATAAATCAGAAAAATTTATTTTGCAAATAAACATAATTAGTATTTTATTTAAATTTGTCTAATTTAAATATAAATATTCTTATATCTATAGTTGTGCATATCTATAATACATTATTTACAAATAATGAATATCATACAAGAAGCAATAAATTACATTAATATATGTATAACAAATACTTACGAAAGTAATATAAAAGTTTCTTATGCTCAAATAACATTTGACAATATTTCTCAAACAATTCATACTTTTATTTTATATTCTACTTTGTTTATCAACAAAATAAAATATCTTAAATATTATCATCAATCTACTTTATTTGAAATAAACTATTAACATAAGGTTCGTTTCATGTATTTTAAAAATATTGTTTAAATTTGAGAAATTTGAAATTTCTCATTACTTTGTTATTTTGCAAAACTTCGGAGAAATACTGAAATTGATGTATTCTTTAAACTAATTTGCAAATGTATCTTCATACATTTGATGATCATTGTAATTTTCATTATTTAATTTTATACTAGAAATTTTTAACATATACATATTGAGAATAATAACATATCGGTATTGACATTGTGACAAAATCGATCATTAAACTATTATAAAAATACTGACTGATTTTTTTATTCGGAAATGTAAGTACGTAACTGTTTAGTTGGTCATTTAATTAGGATACTTATAATCACTTCGTAACAGTTCCTTAATTCTAACCTTCATAAGCCTTTGTAATTTGCCGATATCACGTCACGTTCGACAAATTAAACGCCCACTTCTATATGATTAAAGAGATGTTATGATCTCAATATTGCAATCGCGTGTGTGACAGAAAACCAACAGCTGACAGACTACGTACAATGAGTTGATATAATTTACCTTCATCGTGACAACCCCTGGTAAATTCGCCGAGCGCAGTAGTTCGGCAACTTTGATCACCGGCACACTGTCGCTGTCTGCATTTTCACAGCAATAACTAAAAATATCTTCATAATATTGATGTTCGGTCATCGTCAGGTGAAGACTCGCCATCGTAATCGACTCCCAATCCATCTTGGCGACAAGTCAGAGCGGAGCAATGAACCGCTTCTACACTCGTTCTCGTTACGTACAAACTGGGTCCGTTCTCTTTCTCTACTCTCCTCCTCTCTCACACCTTTTAGCTTTTCTTCTATCCGTCTCCGTTGTTGTCCTTCCGTTCTTAACACGGTCTGCTTCACAGGACGGTCGTCTCCAGTATATAGTCACATTGCACGATGATATGATGATCTTGACGAATCCCTTGGGAATGTAAGGCACACCATTTGTAGACTACACCCCATGCATCACAAAATTACCGCTCGACCGCCATCTTTCTGTTCCCTCTGTGTTTGACATTATTATAATCCATGTGCGCATACTACCTGAACTGACATTTCTACAGTATGTGCGCATTAACTTTACTGGAATATAGAGGCTATACTGCGCATGCGTTTTCTTTCATCGCGATAACGCGGGATTTTCCATTTTTTTCAACTATTTTATTTGGTCAATTTTTTATTTGCTTGACAGTACAATTTTATATTATAGTAGTTCTTTTTTTTCTCGTATAATATATTTTACGCATATTGATCACATTACAAATGGAAAATTATTTTATTTTTATAATATTTCAATCGTTTTCACTATTTTCGTTTAATGCTTTATGCCTCAATCTGAATGAAGGACAAAATGCTCAAATTATTTTTCTTTTAGTGATAATTGAGTATTCTCAAGTTGTGGGCTATGATCATTGCAACGTTATTAAGTAATTCGTATTACTATCTTTTTTCATATATATATATAATATCAATGATATAAAAAGAGCAAGTAACTATCGTCTTGTTTCGCATTTAAGATGCATTATCTTATACGGAGGTATGTACCAGAAAACAAAGCGTTTAAACTTTCACTTGTTTGAAAATAGACGAAAAATGTTTTAACGTAGCAAGCTGCATTACGAAAGAAAAACCGTAGAACGCTTACGACGCGACAACAATACGAACTGATGCGTGACTAGAGCGTATTATTATGACCGATCCTTACAGATATACTTAATTTCGAATCTAACAATTTTACATAAACTCCATGTAATCAGTTATCTGTTAATCTAATAGTAATATGAATTATAGATGCACAACAAAATGTCACCACGAATGATAGACACGATAATTCTCCAAGCGCAGTTTGATGTCGCAGAAAGCACATACTCTAATGAGCAATATTATATGTTATTGGTAATCGAAGAAGACAGACATTTCTTCGTGTTGCCGTAACGTCCAGTTACCGGTTTTTGACCAGCCGTCTTAAAGCGATGCAGCACTGGCGAACTTTCTCTTGGACTACCGCTAATATTATCGAAGTCCCAACTCGCAAAATGTTCCTCGAATAGTTCTTCGAGTTTCTTCGACAGTATTTCAATTGTCTTTACTCGATCATGATCATCCTGCGATCAGATGATTAAGGAAACTTTATACTCGTAGTAGAAATAAAAGTTTTCGATAACACATTCGAAGATTACAATAGGTCTTGCCACTTTATTCAAATTCCTATGCAATATTGACTGCATTATATCCACGATGAATATTAAATATTATTTATTGAAAAACTATATTAGTTCAGACCATATATCGTAGCTCAATCATACTAATTTAATTCTCTACATGTCTAGCAAAGATTAGAAAATCGATAAATAAAATAGCCTGCGTACCTTGTGATATAATTTTGAATTATAAACGATACGACGAAAGTCTCTAACCACGTGTTCTACTTTATGGTAAACTCGATTCTTTAGTTTGTATTCAACCGTTTCCAGGAACATCGGACTTTTAATAACTTTACAATAGTCTTCGATCTAAAAGAAGATTATATAATTATCCATTTACGATTTAAAGAAATGGGCATATGCAAAGAAACTAACCGTGTGAGAAGAAGATTGTTTTCCATTATTGCTTCCTGAGGATGGACACTTGAAAATTTCTGCTTCTTCCATTTGCCAAACTGTTTGATGTATCATTTCTAATTTGCTAAGGGCAAGCGGACTGAGACTTTGTTTTCTTTTCGAGCTATACCATACGGACCAACCTCTATCACTGGCTTTCCCACCAAATTTCCCGTCTAAAAATTCGATGCATCCAGAATTCTCTCGTTTCTTCCCGTGTTTTGTTGCGATTGTAGATTTCGACGTTCCCTCCACTTGAGTATCATTGACCTCGAAATTTTTCGTAGCTTTCTTCCCGGAACATTTACGAGATCTATTATGCAAGAGATAATATGATTTTTCGAAATCTTTTCTTTGACACTTGCGTCCAGGGATCGGTATTACAGTGCTACAAATCGTCGATACGTTGGCAATATTTAATTTGCTCTTCTTGCAGAATTCTTTCTTCTCCGAGAAGGATGTACTTAAGGATGCGCAACGTCGAAGAGTCTCCGAATAAGTTGCCTTCCCTATGACACGCTCGGCCTCTCCCAACGTTGTTTGGCCATTGTTTAAGGAAATGCACGAACTTTTCCTCGAGCAAATAGTCTGTTGAAGATTCTTCACCGTCGTAGTTGTTGCGACTGTTGTTACGGTACTGTTGGTCACTAACGAAACAACGGGAGCCGGCTGTTCATTCTCTGTTACGGAACTGTTTGACGATTCTGAGCTATGTGGAACGGTATTGTTTTTTCGTCGTTTCTGCTTGTTTGCCATGTTAGCGTTGTTCAAAGTTTTGATTAACCACGAATCCGTTTTTACATTCATTTTACTAGAACCTGTTAACGGGTAGCTGCATAAAATATTGCGATATTTAATGCTGGAAGAACGGAAGTATTGCCTTAATGTGACATCAGACACATGTTTCCATTTACTTTTCTAAATATTTCAATATTTTATACGTACGGAACAAATACATAGTAAAGCTTGTTTTACTCTAAATACATTATATTATTATTATGATTCTTTAAAGCAGATTTACTCTCCCCCCCCCTTCTCTGTATGTTAATTTACAATTACGTGTTATGAAAATCTAAAGTTCTCAAATTTCCGTCCTTCTAGTATTAAAGCGATTAAATTTTATTTTTACTAAACAATTAGAATTAATGTTGGACATTGAAAGTAATTAAATACTCTGCTTGAATATCATAGTAATACGATAGTCGCGTAGAATGTATAGAATACGCAGAATACATACGACTTACGTTTTTAGTTCCAAAGCGATATGCGAATGTTTCGAATGAAAATGTTTTTCCGATAGAAGCGATATTTAGAATAAACTTTAAGCGATTATAATCATTACCATTTTTATTACCAGACAACTGTAGAGCTTCGTTGATACTTGTGTTGAGAGAAAAATGATTCGTGGAGCCCGAGTCATCTTCGGACGCTTCGTAGCTCGAAACGCCTCCGCAACCATCGTTACTGTCCTTTAAATTTTTCGAAAGGCTTTCGTCTAATTTTTCACGATCCTGCGCCGCTTGGGACGTTGTATCGTCATTATCGTTCTCTTTCACACTCTCAAACTTTTCGCTAACGTCGACTTGATCGATCTCTGTTTTCTTAAAGTCCGTATCCTCTTTTACGTTCAACGCTTCTAACAGAATCTCAGCGGAAGCGCAGGCTGCTTTCCAAGTAACATCTTCCGACACGGTATAATTGGATGTATCGGATCGTTTTAAAATCCTAGGTGAATTTTCAAGGGAGAAGGTAGGAGGTGGTACGATCGGAGTCGCCGGGAAAGGCACTTTCATTGTATTTGTGCAAGTATTAACATCGCTAGATATAGGTGCTGCGGTAGGTCGAGACACAGGAGTGGACGACGCCGGAGCGCAAAACGTTTTCTCTTTGTTGTTAACGTAATGATTGCGATGATTGTTCGAGGTCCCATTGGCAACGTTTCGAGATGCGGAGCTTTCTAAACGACGATTTGATCTTCTTTGATGTCTTTTTTTCGGCACGTTGTAACTTCCTGGTTTCATATATACTCTAACATCTTCGGAACTGTCATATTCTTCGGGTACCTGCTGCACTTGAACGCGATTATTGATCAAATTATAAGCGTTCCAGGGTGTAGTCTGAACGCTCTGTATATTTTGCAGCGTCTGGAACTGACGATTTGCGTCGATATGCAACTGTCTGATGCAGCTACCGAGATCCATCGTATTCTTTGACATTTCTGCGCGCGTCGACCCACGTGGCACAACAGTCTCCGTATTCACATCCGCCGGATTCATAAATGGCATTTGTCTGTTATCAGAGTTTCTCATACTGGCGAACCAAGCTGACAAATTGGCAGTCATTTCTTCCGATGATTTCTCCGGGATACTCGGTTCGATTTGGCTAAGCAGCGTCATCTTATCCTTTGGCACAGCCGCTAGCTCCAGTTGACTCGTGGACGATTTGCCAACATAAACCAAATCCATATTCGTTTTATTTCTGTGATTTTGTTCGAGGCTCTTTGAATTTTTACTACCGTAATCTACCGTATACGACGGACAAATAGCGTAACTAGGATAAAAATTTTCGTGGTCGTTGGCGGGTGGAAAGTACATAGATTCTAAACTAATGGAAGGGTTCAAAAACGAAGATTCCACCCTCGATAAACATTTTTGAGCATAATTGCTCTCAGAATTATCATCTAATTGTCGCTGTAGTCTAAACACGGTGTCGGTATTTTCCTGTGGCGAAACTTTATTTTCGGGGAATTCTTGTTTCTTCTCCTTGAATAACCATTGTCTAGAAGGATCCTGATTGCTTTCCGTAAGAATTTTGCTTCTCAGGTGAAAAAACTCTGCGTTCAGGGATTGCGTGGATGTGTCTGTCTTGGCAGAGGACGAACTTCCTCTCGAACGAAATCTACTATTCGGTTGACCCGCAGATTCCGCGTGCCCTAAGAACATATCAGGCACGGATTTCGTGCTGTCTATTGTCGTTAGGTTCTCAGTAACGGTCCACTTACTTCGTAATTTTGATTCTTTTTGGGACGACTGTTTCTCCTGGCTGGCATTGTACAGGCTGAAATTTCGTAGGCTGCCGGTCGATAACTGCGCACCGTTACTGGAATCTCGATTGTTCTTTTTATTATCGGGCTTCTGTTTCGATGTAATCATAGTTGAAGATGGATCAAACAAGTCGCGATTCGTGTAAACTGAAACGTCACCTGGAAAAGAGGTTCCAAATGATTCTGATCTTTGCTCGAAATTAGAAGCATTGCCGTTTTCTTCGAGCTTTAAGAAGGCGTGGATGATCTGATTCAGTAGCTCGTGTGTGCTCTCTTCCCACAAACGAAAACATCTCAGCAACTCGCAGTCGAATTTATCGTTCAAGCTTGGATAGTGCTGCTTATTCAAATAATTATCAAGAACAAGCCAA